TGCAAGGATTAATGTTTCCTATTGGATAGAAAGGGCAGGGGTGGATCACCCCATTGACTAGGACCTCCATGTCGAACCCGTCCCCTTTCAAAGACGGATGGCTTCGACAATGATTTGCTGACAATCGTCCGAAGTGGCACGATGAGAGGAGCGAGAGCAACTCTGCACTGTTACCTTATTGACTAAGCCTCAGTCTATCTTTGTACGGGAAGAATCATCGTATTTGACACTTTGACAGCAAAGCGCGACCATCACAAATCCAAGTCAATAGTCAAAGAAGGGAAGGATCAAGTATGACGTTGCTCACCAGTGGCAGAAGCCCTTGATAGAAGGTGATACAGTGGCTGACACATCAATCTTGGTATGGCCATAACTACCTGTAAACGAAAAGGTAGGTAGCCTACGCAGTACTGTAGGCAATGGTCCGCGGGGCTTCGGGAGATCTGGCTCTCTTGCAGGGAAACTTCAAATCGTTGGTAACAATGAAGTCACCATGAGAAGAACCCCCTCGTGAGATCGACCGATGCTAGAGTGAGGTGCCTGGGAGTCCTGAGTTTTGGCACTGGGAGGAATGGGAGAAAGAATTGGGCCGGGGAAAAAAAAAAAAATAAAATAAAATAAATAAATAAATAAATAAATAAATAAGAACCGCAGATCGCAAACGATCTTCCAACCTTGGGACCTTGCCAGTCTCTTGCCCCAGAGTCCCTCTGTCCCTCACGGAAAATAACTGAACTGGGCGGGAAACTTTGTGCACAGTCTAACACCACAAGCAGCAACTAACTAGAACCTATTTCGAAGCGTCCACCGCCGCACCATTCACCAAATATCGCTAGACCTGAAAGTAGTTGATCAACTAATACTAATAGCAGGATTCGGCACCATCCAATCTCAAAGGCTAGCTGAAGCACGGAAGAGGTTTTACCGCTGCTCCTTCACCGAGGTCAACGTGGTTATTGTTATTATTACGGAGGGCTCGGTACTCCGTAGATTAGTGTTATTCGTTAGGGCTAAGTATCGCTTTTGCACCGAAATACTTCGGCGACTGGAAGTGGGGCCTCGGCCCCAAGTACGATCATCGATCAGCGAGGTCCTTTCAGTGTTATCCCGCCGAGAGATACGGAGTAGTCCGGAAATTCTTGTCTCTTGAGCTCGAAGTGGGTGCCTATTTCTCTGTGGATGACAATTGACAATCCTCGATGATTCTCGGATCCGGGTTGTGTTCGGCTCAGGCCGTGGCCGAGACTGAGAGGGACGGGTTAGGGATTGCAGAACGGAATTCACTCCGTAGAAGCTTACAGGATCCTATTCCTGGCATCCGAAATAGCTATCTTGTTCATAAGGCTGTTATAGTCGTATTGTCAATCGATCAATACTCCAATAACAGACGAGCTTGGGTCACTTGAACCTTCTGGAAGTAGGTACGTACTCCCTAGGGTAGAATACGAATACGACCTCTCCCCAAAAATGCAGTTGCACTTACCGAGTCCCGTCGGCTTTATTATTGAGTGATGATGTCGACGATCGGTTCTTGTGCCTCTTAGAAAAACCTAGTTCTCAATTCATAGTGTCATAATGCGTTACGACCCTGAACCTTTTCTTCTTTCTCGCATGAAACCAAACAAACAGTATATATCGGCGAATGCTCGGGGAAATCTGTTTCTCTATATGCGATTTTTGATTCCTCGATACTACCATGATGGATCCCTAGATAACTAGTAGCTACGTACTTGGGTCCATCCATCAACCTCTAACCTTGGTTCAAGCACTAAACTTTAGCAGCGGTTCGGTTTATGTCGGACCCTCGGGGACACCGTTGACTCCGTTGCCTCTACCATCGCTATCTAATAATATCTAATCATCCTCTGACGGGCCCGGGACCGACTAGGACAGCGCCTCTGATTTGCCGATGATGATGATGACGTTCTTTCAGGCTTCTAATTCTAAGGTTCAACCGTTCAAGGGCCACGTTGTTGCAGAGATTTTGGTCCTGGACGCACGGATGATCTATGGAATGCTGTGGTGCAGTGCCCTAGTCTAAATGTGATTACTACGGAGTGCTCTGTACGGGGTATGCAGTCTTAGGTGCTTATCGCAAGAACCCCTGGCAATATCCCTGCAGTATCAGTCGGTACTTTAATTGATACTGTTGCATTAGCAGCAACAGAGTAAACGAATTGGAACTGACTTCTTCTGCTGCTCTACTTTGTAGATGATGGAGGTAGAGCTTCACTTTCCTGATCTGGTTAATCTTGCGAACCCTTGCGGCGCCCAAGCAGCTCACAAAAAGGCAAAATCCCCCAGCTCATGCCTCGCAACCCCATGTGGTACTACCAGGCTAGTCTACACATGTAAAGGAATATGCGCCGGGCGAATAGTACAGATCGGTACCAGACCAACCATGAGACGACCACCATCAAGCTCAGCGTGGGACTAAAGGAAGAGCTTACTTACTGATCAACAATAAGAAGTTGAAACGGCAGTCTTAACTCTTTAATGCCATCATCCCGTTAATAGTACAGAGTGCCCTACCAATAATGTGAAAACATTACTAACTGTTTCGTTAGATTCACTGCGCCAAGACCACCTATCCCCCGTGTGAAATTGGGATTGGGATTCTTCCATGGCAGAATTGTCCCCTACGAAATTTCGAAGACTGACATTAGCCGGTTCTGAATAGATGAAAGGGGATTTCAGGAGTTGCAATTCGCAAGGAAGGAGTAGAATACAGTTTGCATCCCGTCGGAGACGCAGGTGTTGTTCAGAAAGATCTCCAGCACGCATGCCCCGCCAGCGTACCCTGGATCCTTGCTTCGGCACTTCATCACCACGATCCGAAATGAGGCCGGTAGGAACTGAACCCTTACCTGCGGTCTCATAATATAGAATGCGGGTGTAGACTGTAATCCTCTGTGCCAAGTCTACTGGACAGTTCTACACTATTCGTGCATTACGACGGAGTATAGTTGCGCTCATGACCCCGTTAAGTGCCAAGCGTGGGTTAGATAACTAAGGATTTACAAGCAGGCTGCAAGTGCTGGTGCAGGTGCAAGTCCGAAGTATCTAGACTAATGCAGGAGCATGGCAGGTTGATGATAGTCGAAGCTTGGAAATTATCTAGAGAGCAGATAGCCAGGGGGAATGGACCGAAAACTCAATAGTCTGGTTACTCCTGGCTTGCTGCCTAAGGTTGGTTTATCTAACGGTCTAACCAACACGTTGCAACTGCGTTGCGTTGAGTTGGCGCTGACGTTGGCACACACATGCTGAGTGCTATCAGAATATCTATCTATCCAGACTTTGACTTGATTCCTTCCATCTCATCTCAAAATCTGGAACGCTATCCCAAACGTTTCCACGGCGCCCTGGTTGTCTGATCTTCGCCAAACCCTAATCGAAAACAGAAAATGTTTCACCCTTCCCGCTCACTGACTCCTGGCAACGATGCATAGCCACCCATCCCAAGCAAAGCCGACCGTCGATCTCACCTAAGCGAAGCTGTGTGATGATAACTCCGGTGGGATGGTTGAGAAGACAAGACCTTGTTTCATCTGTATGACTTCATATTTATCGTCACGGTCTGGTCAACGGATTTTGAAGTGGCCCCGATGGCCCGATCAGTGAGGGTTTAGGAACTTCTCTTGGATGAGAATCTGCATCTGCCTGCAGAAAAATCAATCCTGCTCTGTATCTGCGCTTAATGTTGATTGATGAGAACGAGTGACGAATATTGTGCTCAGAATGCTGCGTTGGGCTGCCCAGTGGCAGACAGGCAGCGTCCGCCAGATGAGAAATGCATTGGTTAACCAGCACAGTAACCGCCACAATGCGGTATCTACTTCTAATCACACTTCATCAGAGCAGCTGAATCAAATAAGATAGGCCCATCATGCTCTATCTACTGCCAACTATGTCGCTGCACTGTCATGTGTAGCTGAATCAAAGCTTACCGCGCCTTAGGTGTCCAGTGTCGGTGTCTACGAATAGTATCACCCTGCCGCTAACGACACAATGTCTGAGTCGGGTATACTAAATAAAGCCGGCGTCCCACGCCGGTCTCAACCATGTCCGTTTTCTGGTAGCCATCTGTCTAACAGTACAATTTGCATCCATGGCTCGTCTACTTGTCTTCATTCGCCGGCTGGGGTTATTCAGCGTCAAGCCCAATCTCTGTCAATTTGTTCAGTTTATTTTCGTTCGGATATACAGCCAGCCACATCGGCATTATGGAGCCATCTACCGGACAATTCCTATGCTGTATTTCAAGTCGTCTTACTTATGGTGCTAGCTGCAGTGCGCACAATGGGATAGAGATACCTAACAGTGCCGTACTCTATCCACCAGGTATTGCCTGAACTACCAGCCCACAACGGTACCTGAGCGACAACACCTATCATCCAGACTCTGACTACTCAAAGAGGACACTTGAGACAGAATAACATATCAGGAAACAGGCTCATTTCCACCGCACTCAATAGCCACGGGCCATCTTCCTCAACATTCTGGGAGCATGAAAGGTGATTTGGCAATCGGCGACTGGATGGAGTTCGCAAGGTCCAACCGCCATGCACTAGTTTCACATTTGCCTGCCCAGAATAGCAGGCTGTCCGTCAATTCCCTGTCGCTCACGGCTTGAGTGCGTAGCATATGGGGTCCCAGGGTGTTTCCAGCGAGAATCTTCCCAAGTTTTCAGCATTTGCTGCCTGGTAGTTGTATGATTTCAGCAAGCTGGTGTCTGGGCTCTGGATTGAATGATAGTAAAGCTATCTTGACTTGTTGAGAATATACTACTACACCTACTCACGACCATCTACAAGTCGTAGTTCTGCAGAGTAACCTACTCCCTGGACGTGGGATAGTCCTTTAGAAAGAGCTTGACTCCACCCTGCCACGCTCACCATAATCTGGTTCGACTCCTATCGGCGAGTCATCTTAGACATCACATTAAGAATCAAAGCGATTGACTGAGCCCTGTAAATAAGCATAGCAATACTCTCTATCTACTGCATCAAAAGGAAAGACTCATCCACATCAGCTATACTCTATCCTCCTTCCTCCAAGAATCCATCCTCATACCATCTTCGAACTCTCTTCCACAGTCCTCCCATAACAGACAGGAAACAATCTGGCCCAGAAACCCGCTCGTTTAGGATTCGTCTCCCTTTCCGTCATCAACCATCGAGCAAACGTACCCTCCGTACGAGAAGGACTTGTACTCCGCAGATGCGCAATCTACTCAGTCAGATAGAGCAACAGACATCATGAAACTGAGTCCACGCACCTCATCGTACTTCTGCAACGCTAACCAATAAAGCTGTGATAGACCAAACAGACTCCTAAGTGCCCTCCTGCCGATTCTCCCCGCTGCCGTGGTATACATCGCCGATAGAGCCTTCCGATCGAGCCTCCTTAGGTCGCTAATGTCATGTCCGCGGTGTAGTTTCCGACCTTGTCGTTGGTAAACCACCTCGATAAGGCTCGTCAGGATGTCGGCTTCCCAGGTGGCGAGGAGATCGTGATGGAAGGACGTGACGTGTCGTTGGAGTCTCATCAGGTCGAGTTTGAGGCGCAGATTGCGTGCTTGGATCTTGGCGATCTTGTATTCGAGGTTATGGTTGCTGGCGTTCAGGGCGTCCAGCGCTGCGGAGTATCTCTGCGAAGAAGATTGTCAGTTCGTGAATCCCGTCTTGCGCGGGCTCGACTCACCTCGACTGATGAGAGAGAAGATTCAGAGTCCAAGGTTGACTGTGAGATGGATAAATCGGCGGACAAGCTGGGTTCGTATAGTCGGTGCCTGAGACTCATGGTGACTCGGTCGGCGCTCGGTGTCTTCTTACTGGGAAAGATGCTAAGGAATGAATGACTAGACTGTTTGGCAAGATAAGCTGCTGGTAAAGGAATGATTACCTGTCGCTCGTGTACACTGAGCTTGTGATGTTGGCGAATTCCCATGTCCGTCTGATCTGTGCTGCTAGCTATAGTGTAGCAATTGTGATGGAGTCATCAAGGAAAGAGCCACCCACTCCGGATGTGGAAAGCACAATTGAAGAATCATCATTCATGAGCTATGTACTCTATTGCGTCTAGGTTTCTTAATGTCGTGCTCTAACATAGTTAGAAAAGTTGCCTCAAAGGCTTCTGAATCCAGATTATAGCTTGCTTCCTGAGGCCTTTCCGAACTCGATAACCAGCTTCCCGAATTGCTTTCCTTCTTTCATGTCCTGGAATAAACTGTCAAGTCCCTCGATATCGCCCAAGTCGGTCTGTACAACGCGAGAAATCACTGGATGAACCTTGTTCACCTTGACGAAATCAACCATCTCTTTAAACTCCTTGCGAGAGCCCATGGTAGAGCCACGGACGTCAATATTCTTCAAGACAGCCTGCATCAGGAAAGGCATCTTGGGGGACACGGTCATTCCATAAACGGAAAGGACACCACCAGCCTGTCTCAGTCAGTCGGCTTCAGTTTGGGCGCTCAGTTGGACGATCATACCTTGAGCAACTTGGTTGCCTTCTCGACAGAGTCACCACCTGCACCATCGATGATGGCGTCAAAGTTCCGCTTGCCGCTGGGAAGCATACCCAAAAGTTTCTTCTCCCATCCATCCTCCTTGTAGCTCACACCACCTCTCGCGCCCAGTGCCACAGCTTTTTTAATCTTCTCCTCGCTCGAACTCGTCACATAGACATCCGCACCCCTTGCCACCGCGAAACGGAGAGCAATCAGCGCAACACCACCGCCAATCCCCGTGATCAAGACAGCAGCGCCTTTCCCAGAATTCCTTTCGCCCGCCTTAACCACCAAGGCTCTCCACCCCGTCAATCCGGTTAATGGCAACGCAGCGGCTTCCGCGTCCGATAGATGCTCGGGAGCTTCTTCCACCTCGGACTCTTCAATGGTGAGGTATTCCTGCAGTGTACCCTTGTTGTAGACCTTTGTTCCACCCATGATGCGATAGCCCTTGGGATCTTCAGGTCCGTCGGGAGAATCATTCCAGCCAGTCCCAGGGTTCAGAATCACTCGTTTGCCCTGCCACCGTTCGGGATTTGTCACATCGGGGCCGGTGCCAACAACCACTCCCACCCCGTCTGCGCCAAGGGGAACATCGAAAGTGGCGCCGGGGTATAGATGCTGCCGCAGGAAAACATCACGATGATTGAGTGAGGCTGCAGTCATTTTTACCAGGAGCTCGCGCCCCTGGGGTGTCGGCAAAGGCAATGTCTGGACGGAGAGGGGGTAGTAGACTTGGCCTGGTTTGCCATCGACTTGGGACATGAAGATTGTTTTCGACATTGTGACGGTAATATCAATGGCTATTAGGTCTTTGGCAGTTCAGTACGTAGTTCAGTACGTATGATTGAGAGCGATAAGTTAGAGAGAATTGGTAAATTCAAGCTATGGAAATTCTACCCCAAAGCACATCGATGATCAGTAATCCGTGCGGGGATGACGACGATGACGGCCGTTATCGATAACCGAGGCTGCACGGAGTTGCGGGTGATTGTGTGCGTGCGCGAAGCCAATTGATATTGAGAATTGAGTATCCCCGTCAGGCTGTCAAAGCGATGATACATCTTTATTTTGCATGATGACACTATCAATTTGGTAGTGCTACACAGTAGCTATGCTATCTTGAACAGCCTCGGTCAAGATAAGCCAATGCTTATCTGTCGGAACACCAATATGACAGTAGCTATGACAGAAGTGTGAGTCCAGGAATAGATTAACGAAAGCTAGAGCTAAGCATCCATGTCTAGAGGAATTATCTCCGTGTATTACCAGGGGTACTCATCTACTTAAATCTTTACGGAGGACTCTGCATAGCTTCTAAATTGCTCGCCAACCTCACATACCACCTTCGCTCCTGCACTGGCACTGGGAACATCACGGCGACAGAATACAAACTAATACTTGCAATGTAGCTGATGATTCACCCACGGACGACGGCGATGATAAGACCTCGTCTCAAAGTCCGCGTCGTGGCCGTGGCCGTGACCCGTCTCCGTCGACTCCTCGGTGGAATACTCGCATTTGCTGACGAAGGTATCCTCGCAGCAGTCGAAGCGGTCACAGCTCTCGAATCGAGTGAAGCTCTGTTGACACTTTACAGGTGTAGCCTGATGATGGCTCTTCGTTCTCGATGAGTCACCGCAATGGGGGAACGAGGGTGGGCAGAATTTACGTCTGCTTGCTGGGTATGGGATGTCTTGCGGGGTCCGGCAGCATGGATCTCCCGGGAGACAGGTGCTTTCGGCTGTGCATGTGCAGCACCTGTCTAGAGAGCAGGGCTCTGGGCGGAGGGTGTCGCATGGACAGTCTTGACAGGTGAAAGCTGGGGCGGAGCAGCGAGGGATCTGATCCTGTTGGCCTTCAGGACCGCAATGTCTCGGTTGTTGAACTCCAGGAGAGTAGCAGCAGTTTGGGTTCCGCTGCGGCGACTCTGGGATCCAGTTGTGGCTTTCGGTGCTGTTACCGTGTCCATGTCCGTGTCCGCATGGACAGGATGGTTTGTCCTGGATATTCGGAGGACAGCATGGTCGATCAGGCGCACAGTGGTCGGGAGTCTCGAGGATGTGTGATCCGGTACAGACGGGTCTGATCTTCTCTCCCTGGGCAAGACCAGTCCGGAGGGGTTTGCCGTGCCAGTACCAGGCATATGGCATAGAGATCTTTTCTTGCTTCATCTTGGGGACAGCCAATGTGTTGTGGTGGAGAGATTTGCCCTTTGACCTAGGAGCATGCTTGAGATATATATCCAGACTGGTATGGGTGTTGTGGAGATGGCCATGCTACAGGGTCGTTCAGCAACAGACAAACGGACAAATAGACAACAGAGCGCCAAATCCTGATATCCATCATTGACTGATGGTTGCTGCCAGACAAAGACTCTGTCATGTGGATAACCGTGCCTGAGGCTTCAAACATCAGAGGCGGAGGTTGGTGATGGAGAGGCATGTTGGTTGTATGACCGGTAAATGCCATCCACCTTGCCTTTCATGCCTTGCAACCCTGTGCATCTGAGTAGAATGATGCACCATAAATACACTCTTCCCCTTCCACACCCTTTGTTCCAGCAAACAAACGAATATTGCAATCTTCATGGGGAATCCAGCCATCTTTTGAGGCGTTCATACATACTGAAATTAAAGGCGGCGGTCGACAGCACCAGTGATGCGATGGACGTGGCAGTAGGACAATGTAGGTTTGTCTGGAGCGGTTATGCCTACGCACTGTGGAAAGTCGTTTACTCAAGCCATACACCGATCACCTGCCGATTCAAGGCTGGCGGATAGATAGATAGCAGTAGCTTTGACATTGATGTTCCTGAGATGAAATCTAATCAATCATAATCATCTATATCATATGATAGATTTACGAGTCAATTACGATCTCACGCTTGTCCTACATACACGTCTCCTCTCAATGTTTTCTAATTGACTTGATACTTCTGACCTAGGTAGGAAAGTAAGGTACCTGTAAAGCTGTACCCATTCTTTGTGCGTTTGTGGATGCCCTGTATGGTAAAACCGCGTAAAAGTGGCTGGCAGCGAAAACAGTCCCAAGCCCCCAGACAGTTAGAAGACCCGTGTGATAATTCCACGCGCTGCTTGCCATTCGCCCGCCGCCTCGTCCATTTTTCACAGCCAGGAACTTCCACCTTGAGACTCTCTGCGACCTTACTCGATCTTCCTGATCTCGACCTGGATCGTCTGCCCGTTTTTTGCTCTATCCTCTTCCCCAAGGAATAAACAGTCTCCCTCATTTTAAAAAGCGAAAAGGTTTGTGTCAACAGCTTCCTCGAATGTTGCGTCTAATACATCTTGTTACAGCTTCTCCGGTCGGTTACTGATCTACTAGTCTTCTTCTAGCTACCTACTCTTTTGCTCTCGTGTCGTGCGTCGTTCTCCCACGCAAACGTTCCCTTCGACTTTAACAATCCGCCACCAGAACACACTGAGAACCAACTCTCTCACACGAACGAGTTTTGTCTTGACTTGACTCCCTCTTCTTCGCTGAACCGGTGATTTACCTTCATCAGTCAGCCATTGTTTCCATAATGCCTACGCCACTTCCTTCGAGTTTTGCTTCGGCCGCTGCTGGCAATACTCAGGACGCTCCCAGCAGGAGAGGTGACGGAACTGCCGGTGGAGAATGGTATGCAATCATGTCTTATGTCCTCGGGGCATTCCCTGTCAATACACATTTTCATGTGTTTTCCTTCTCCATCTCTCTCCCCGCGGACGTGTCCTTACCTAACCTGAAACTCTCTTTGACAACTGATACCCTTGCTTTACCAGGTCTCGAACTCGCATGAACGGAGCAACACAGACTTTCCGCCGTCCGTCAGTCGCAACGAACCCTTCTCAAACGCGAGACATTCAAACTACATCTGCTACGCATCCGACGGTCGGTGCTTATACTCCCCCACACATGACCTCAAATCAATCCAGCGCACTCCGCAACGGGGCCGGCGAGAATCGTTATTCCAAAGAACAATTGTTGAGTCTCTACAAAGCTCAGCGTGAGTCGGGTATTCTAGGCAAAAACGTTGCGGATCACTTTGTCGCCGACTGGAACCCTCACGTGGAGACTCCTCCCACTAACGGAGCATGGGGAAAGCGAGAGGATTCCAAGGATAATCCCTCGGGACCTGAGATTTGTTGGGATCACGGCGGGAAGGTCGAGCCTCTGGGCCTAGTGGATATGACTGATGATGAGAAAGAGGTTGGTCTTGTCTTTCCCCCCCGCCCCTCTCTTGTTCTGAACACCTAGATCGCCCTTTCATTCCTGTTGGAAAATG